CTCCAAGTCCGCTGGTCTCTCTCTGCTAATTCCCTATTTATGGCTCGCTCGCTGGTCGCTCCTTCTCTATTCCCTCCATTTGCTGAGCAAGGATAGAGAGAGAGCGAGCGAGCAAGGATAGAGAGAGAGCGAGCGAGCAAGGATAGAGAGAGCGAGCGAGCAAGGATAGAGAGAGAGAGAGAGAGAGAGAGAGAGGTTAGTTTGACGTTCGTTTGTTGGTATTCCTTATTCTGGTAGCAATTATTATTTGGTTTAAATTATGGCCCTTTTTAATGTGTTAAACCTTTATTATTTTACTTGCATATCGTACCCTACAACGATGCCTTCATAAAGGGGGTAACAACATTTGAAACCTCTTACCAGAATTTGGATAAATTGCAATTCCGTCTCATTCAATTGTTTGAGATAAGGAAATGCTCCGTTTTAAAAGAAATATTCCTTATCCCCACCTCAAATCGTAGTCCACGTATACGAAAGGCGTCGTAAAGATATAAACTATTCATAATGTGGGCGGCATTCATTCAATGAGAATACTTTTTGCGGCAAGGGATTAGTTTCGACAATTTTTTTTTTCACATTTATCAGTAAATGGAACCTTCATTTAATTTTCCTGTCGAAGTCACACGAACTAAGATTATGAAAAAGTTTCGGAATACTGAACCTTTCCGTAGCTTAACTTGCCCCTTGAAAGAAAATATCATTGGCATTATTGCTTTTTGAGGCAGTCTTTCGACATAAAGAATTCAATATATGTCTTTATAAAGTTTCTTGGCTACCCGATAAATGCAAGTCGTACTATTAACTTGAGAAGATAAAAAAGTGAAAATATAGCTTATGTTCATTTTCACCTTAAAACTGCTTAAGCTTAATTCGCATGAAGCGTATGAAACGAGCAATCGAAGCGAGACATTGCAAACCTCTCTTTTCAGTATACTTGTGTGCGGAGAGCGAACGGAATGAGTGCAACACAGGGGGGTGATGACATGCTCAGTTCTAATAAACAAATATCTCGAGAACGGAAATTGAAAGCACCGTTTGGATTGCGGAATTTTGTATTGCGTTCAAAGGGGATTTAGAGGAGACAATAGAGGAGACAAAGACAAGTTTGACCGATCTAAAGAGAAGGAGAATGTCTACCGATGTCTCAGAGCCGAAAACCGCGATTTAACATATTTTTTAGCAATTTCGAATTTTACAATCAAATTCGAAATATGCGCTTGAGCCGCCGAAACAGATCAGCAAACTGTGCCCGAGTTGAACGTTTTAATGTAACACTTTGACAGTTACAAATTGATTGCTAAAAGCCAGTAAAATTGTTGCAAACATGCTAAATATTTAGTGGCCTATCGACAGTAATTCTGGACGGATAATCCCCGCTCAGATTTTTTTTATGGCCTGCGTGCAGGCAAAAATCTCTTCATAGGTAGGGAAAGATGGTGATATTTCCGGCTAATACGTAAACAATCGAGGCTCGCCCCCGGGGACATCGTCTCCTCCCCTCTGGGATTTTGCGCCAATCACATAGAAACTACGGCTATGACTGCTAGCTGTTTGTCACCGCTCCCCAACCCCGGATCGAACGGTGTCCAAGTTTGTCTGGATGGTTGGGAAGATAGAATTTCACCCGCCAATGTTTGTGGGGGGGAACTTGACATTAGCAACCGGAGTTCCTAAGCTGTCAACCTTCCTTAACCTCCGTAACCTGAAAGATCCTAGCCAAGCGAAAAGGTTATAGACGCTGGTTGCCGACATTTGACTACCAACGGTATTTCTAACATTAGTGTAAAATACAAGTGTTAAAATCAAGAAAATTGAACGTGTTTAACGTCCTTTATACAGCGTATAAAATTGTACAGAGTTGATTTCTTAAAGTTCACATGGGCTCTATAAGAATTCGAACTAGTCAGATTTCCGAGAACGCGCGCTCACTGCGCGGTGTTTAGTATACTTTATGACAAACGTATATTGCACCGAATGATTGTATCTACAAAATAAGTGTAGCACCACTAACGTGTTTGTTCTTTCACTTGTCTAATTGTCTGATTTTGAATTGTCTAATTTACGAAACTCACGATTAGTGGATCTTACCACATGATTAATAGAATTTCATATATGATGGCTTCCTAAACCATGTTTAACACATTGTGCAAAATCTCTGTGTAGTGAAGCTGCACAGATCGCGACTGCGGTGGCTTACGTGTAGGCGAAGGCTTTGAAGCCCTGCTTGCGAAGGCCCTGCACGGTCTCTTCGTTGCTCTTGGCGTTGATGTCCCAGCTGACGATCGTGGCGCCGAGGTCGGCAAACTGCTGGGCCAGTTCGCGCCCAATGCCATGGCCGGCGCCGGTAATCTGCACAACAAAACGCTTTCGTAAGATATAAAGTCACAAATACTCAAACTCAGTCATGCAACGGGCCTAAAAATCTAATGATTTTGTCGGAAACAAATTCTGAAGCGGGAAAGGTTATGTTGATTAATTGTATTATCTTTGAAATATTTTACAATTTTTTGAAGTAATTTAAATGTAAACAAGCAAATTTGAATGAAGATTTTAAATTTCGTGCTATTGAATTTACTTGATTTTAGTAAACAAGTAAGAGGTTAGTTCTTCGAGTGGTTGTCTTCAAAACTGTTTTCCGAATAATTAACCCCAGAAACTAGTCTGGCGCCTCCGATGGTGGGTTGCTTAATGTCGATAATTTGTACTACGCACGTTTATATTAAAAATAATTAGTTGACAATTACATTATTTGGGTCGTCCATCCTTAAAAACAGTTAAATAAAAATGTATCCATAAAAGTACTTTTTAAGAATTGATGTTTCATTACTTTAATAGATTTAACGTAAAAGTACCATCAATATCAGTCATGCTTATGTTACAAAGATTAACGTTGAACCGAAAAACACATTATTAAAATCCAGAGTTTCAGCACTTAAAGTGCCTTAAAGTCTCCAAAAACTGTTGTTTTTTAGAATTCCAAAAGAAGGCTAAAAATAAACCTACTCTAGTAGCCGACCCGGTGGCCGTAGCGATGTCGAGAACAGAAGGATCGCGGGTTTCAGTGCCGTCTCGGGCTTATAGGCCGTTCGTCCTTTTACTCCCTCATCACCATCACCATCACCATCATCGTGTCAACCTAACAGTTACCATACCTTTACTAGCAATAGTGGTCGCTAATGACCTAGAAGTTGATGCGACCTTAATTAACTAAAAAAGAAGCTATTCGATTGTTCCGGAGCAATTAAATACGATCACCTCCATGTCCTTAAACATGGCTAGTTAAGTAACAGACATTTTGGGTAACATCTTTCAGAAACCAAAAATTAGCTTTCGGTATCTTGCCTAAATAGTATTAAATTTCAACATCCTTCAAAATTGTTTTCCAATTGTGAAGAAATATATAAATTTCAATAAAACAACATAATTCAAAGCCAACAGCAATATGAAGGTAATTCAAAAAATCAATTCATCGACATTTCGATGTTTTATCGAAATGTCTTCAGCGAATTATCTTCTAAATATGATGATATCGTATATTTTAACAATGAAAGCTGGGTAAGACGAGGAATGTTTAAAAAACATTATGACTTACGGAAAGAATTGATAAGAATGACATGAATTAAGTAATTACATATTAGTTCAATATTTTTAGCGGGTATGATAAAAAATTAATCAGCTAAATAAGAAATTACAAAGGCAAGATAATTTTCATCAATGCTTTCAAATTAATCAAAGCATTTAAGAGGAAGTTATTGTTACATGCCTGTCAACTGAACACCAACTCCCAGACCGCCAAACACAGAGTTTCAGATAATACTAAAGACATTAAAAAAACTTATTTAAAATAATAAACTACATTGAATGGAGATTTCTCAAAATTAGCTAAACATGAAATAGTGTGCAATATTTTGATGGTTATATGATTGTGACGTGAACAGTGTTTCGGAATATCTGCACATTGAGTTGAGTTAGAGTGTAACAATGAAAACATGTTTGCAGCATTTTTATTCAACTACAATATTGAAGATAGCAAGATATATTTAACATTTTTCTTCATGAAATACGATCTACAAAGTTGGATCATTAAATAAGGTTAAGTACAATTTTTCAAAAACACGACCTAGTTTTTACGTAATTTTTCATTGAATGTAGACATTAAAAAAATAATCAAGAAATAGAAGAGAGAAAACTTCTATTGCAGGTCCGTGGTAACGAAAGAGTGGAAAAATCGTGGTTCTACTAACGTACTTCGTTTAATACTGTGTGAAGTCACATTTCGTACGTCCTTGACATCGATACAGAAAAATCCATTACTGGAAAAATGTCTGTCTATTGGTGGCAAATCGAATGCAAAAAACCTTTCATTTGCTAATCGAAATTTCAATATTTTTTTTTTTAATTTTGTCGATTGTAAAAAGAAAATGTAGGATAAACGTGTCTTGCCAATAATCTGTGAACCGTAGCTGCTATTCTAAAGCGTATTCTAAAGATAAGCCAATACGTTCAAAAGACGGGACAAACAATTTCCAAGGAAGTTTTCAAAATTTGCATGTTTCCAAGTAGTTTGGGAATTTAAAAAAATGCAGAGTGAAAGATTTCCCAAAATTTTTGAATTGTAAAAAAAATATTTTCTAAACGATGGACAAACGCCCTAAACAATGAAGAACTTGAACTATTGAATTAATGCTTATTTTACGAGGCGAAACTCGGGCCATCAGACCCGCTCTTCTGTCTGACTACGCAAATTTCGCTATGCTTCTTTCACCAAATAGCGGAGAAAGGGAGCATTTCTTGAGCGAGAAACAAGCGATTTGAATTTAGCTCAGAGGCGTCATTTAGGCTTGTGGATCTTTTACATGCAAGTAAATCTACGAACATGGGACAGCCGGCTTTACTTCCCCTCCGAAGAAAGGCGTACAAAGGATTTTTTTTCGCCCTTAAAAATCCACGGCTTCGATCGGGTTTTGAAACCGCCAGCTTGAGTATAACAGTCCGATACGCTAACCATTACACCATCGCCGTCACTACCACACGAGAAACCAACGCAAATGAAAACTTTCGTCATATTAATGTGATTCTCGGTATTTTGGAGATTTAAACAAACTAAAATAAAAAGGAATTGACCAATAATGTTTGAGCATTAGCTGTTGAAAACTGTCTGAAGGGAGGGCAAACGTCCCCAAAAAATTTGCCGAAAGAATTCAAATGAAATTTGTTTCAAAATCCATTTTTGGTATTTTTTAAAATTAAATGATGGCAGGATAACCTTTTGCCAATACTCTTTTGAACGACAGGTGCTAAATATTTTCTTAATGAAGGGCAAACGTCCTCACACAACTGGCAAACTAATGCGAATTAATTTTTTTAAATTTCTATTTGTTTATTGACAACTTGATGCCAACTTGGTCCAACGATAGACAAACAAATTCACATTTTGCATTTGAAAATTTGCATTTTTCATTTTTTTTCGGGCCAGATTCACGCTTTCAGGGTGCTTTGGAATACGTTTTTCGGCATATCTGCTACGGGAAACGTGGTAACAAAACAGCAAACAGAATTTAGTTTGTGATTAAAAGTGGTCAAACGATGGACAAACGAAAGCGCACTTCAATGTTCGGCGTTTTTAATATTTTAGGTTAAATCTTGTAATTTCGTAAAAGCGTGAAGTTGGCCTGAAACCATATTTTGCTCTAATTTGTGAACAGGGGCTGGTAAAAATTTTCTAAACGATGGATAAACGACTTCAAACATTGGACAAACGAATGCAAATAATTTTTTTGATTTTCTTCATTTCAATGAATTTGTTTTTGTATTTTGGCGAATTTACAAAAAATGGCGGGAAAAATAGTTTTCCACTGTAACTTGAACTAAACGTAGTGTACGTTGTGTACTCTTACGTTTGTACTCTTAGAGTACGTTTTGTACGTAGTGTACGTTTACACTCGTATCCCAAAGATGGAAATACGCAGGGAGAAGTAAAATATGGTTATTTCCGTATTTGGTATTTTTTCTAATTGAAGAAATGGCGGGAGAAAAGTTTTGTGCTTATAACTTTTGAACGGGTAAAACCTTCCTAAGAGTCTGCAATTGTGGTCAAACGATGGACAAATGTAACTCCCAAAAAGTTGTTTTTTCGAAATTTGTTTCGGGTCAGGTTTACACTTTTTTGAAAAATGGCTTTGGTTGTTTTGTTAGAGAAACTGCGCCTGAAGATGGATAAGGGGTCATTAGTAGGTAAACTAATTAAAGTAGATTAAACTTTTCGAATTTTGTGTTTGTTGCTAATTTGGCGTTTTTAAGAAATGACGGGTAAAGGTTTGTCAATTCTTGAACCGTAGATGGTATAAATGTTCTAAAGGATGGGCAAAAGTGATCAAACGATGGACAGACGAATCCATGCACAAAATTTTCAATTTTGAATTTTTGGGGCCAGGTTATCGCTTTCTGGGTGCTTTGGAATACGTTTTCCGCCAATATCTGTTGAAGGAAACGTGGTAAAAATAATTTTGTTGATTGTAGGTGGTCAAACGATAAACAAAATAATCCACAAAAAATTTGCATTTTCCATTTTCTTGAGCCAGGTTCACACGTTTTTGAATAATTATTTTGATGTTTTTGTTAAAGATGAACCTCGTCTGAAGGTGGATCTGGGCTCATTAATAGATATTATTAAATTAATAAATTAAAATTTTCCAAATTTTTATTTGGTTGTTGCTAATTAGGAATATTATTTATGTAATTTCGCGAAAATCATAATAACCCGCACCCAATTGATTGCGATTCGTCCTCGGGGTTTCTTACAACAACAATTCTAAAAATACAATTCTTTTTTTTAATGAAATGGGTTTATCAAAAGTAGATTTTCCAACAAGATCATGTTCAACTTTTTGATAATATGAGTACGTTTGGGGAAATTTATAGACAAAAATAATAGCCGGACCAAATTTACTGCGCTTCGTGGACGTTTCGTTTGATCGTGGACGTATTCCTGAGATTTGGATGTTTCATAAGTTAGGATTTGTATATTTCATATTTCTTTGTTGGTTTCTTTACACTTGACCTTTTATTTAACTCAATGTTTTAGAAATTATTTAAAACCTATTTGAAATGCTGTAAGCTTTCAGTGAATATCAGATTGGAATGCTCCAATGACTCAGAAGCTCATTTTTGTGAGTTACGTCTTATTTTTGTGGCAGGATTCACCTTATGAAAAGCAGTTAAAATTGTCAAATTTGTTTTGATATTATTTTGTTTGAAAATATTTAGTTTTTTCACCAAATATTTTTCGATTTGTAATGAGCAGTGTTGGGGTTTAAAATACATATTTTAAAGACATTGACATGTTCATCCACGCCAGTGAATGACCTTTCCTTTGGAGTTTTCATACATTCGCTCACTAGGGGCTTATTGCCTGATAAAAATAAAAATATGTAAAAAATTATTGCATAACTACACATTTTGCGAACAATGTACTTCCTGGAAATAATTCTTTAAAAATTGAAAAACTGTAAACTTAAAACCTCTGCAAAATATCAAGCCATAGTCAGTCGGGAGGGAAACTCGTTAGTAGAGAGGGAAACTAGTAAGTCGGTAACACCGTGCGCGTAGCGCGTTTATTCAAATCGAGCGAGAAGTACGTTCTTACATTTCCGTCGGTATACTGGGAGCAATTGAAAGATCACACTCCTTGAAAAATTCTACCTTTTATACTAACCAGATTTTCACCAAAGTTGAAATTTGATGAATATAATAAAAATATAATCATTTTCACAATAGAAATTAGAATTTCGAAAAATCAGGATTTTCATTAAAAAACACTTGGACTATTAGCATCAATGTTTTGCATACTATAGAACGGCAAAATTGAAACAAAAACGTTGGAGCTTTTTTTGTTTTGAAAATGGGGAATCCTAGGATCTTCATAAAGGAAAAGTCATAGCTAATATTTCAAATGATTAAACATTTCATTTTTATAATTTATTTTAAAAAATCGTATTACATAATTACTATAAAAAATATTACATATCTATTACTTTAGACGAGAAAGTACAAGCTGCTTTCCCCCACTACTTAGTACTTGTGCAGTACTCGTACTGCAATATTCATAGATCATGCTAGATGTGATTCACGGGTGATAAGTACACTACAAAGAAAACTGTTTTCCCATAAGACCGGCTAACCATTTACTTCATCGGTCATATTCTTCAGGACGAAACTGGTTAATTTCAGATCTCGATTTGTTGGACTAAAAAACAATCTCGCAAAAATTTCAGAAAACCTGACGATGGGAGTGATCTCACGCTCCCAACACGTTGTCAATTGAGAAGATGCAACTTGAATTTTATTATAATTAAATGCGTAAAAACAAGACCCTACGTAATCATAATTACAAGACAATCAAGAATTTTAATATTTATTCAAGTCTGTACACATTTTTTAAATTGCAAAGCTTAGTTTATTTGTACGTTAACCTTGATTAACTGTTTAATATTTCAATTTTATTAGGATGACTCCGTAGTTTAGCTGTACTTAGAGGTCCATAAGAATTTAATCTCTATCAAGCCGTGGCTTCTATAGTCCATCTAGCGCTTTAAAACGTTTGAAGATTCTCCGCACTTTCTCCATATACTTTGTTTTTTAAGTTGCTTGTTTTTTCATGTTAAATAAGTTTGTTATAGAGTAGACATGTGGGGCAGAATGGTTTCATTGATATTTCAGCCGTTTCAAATGTTAGTAACTGATGTCCAGGGATGGGAAATAAAGATTCTCTCTGTTGTATAGGATACTGTTGCAGCATTCGTCTGGATATGATCCGGATAAAGGGGACCACGTATATGAGCAGTCGGCTTAGGAATTTGATTCCAGCAGGCACTACGAAATTACATATATTAATAACCCCAAGCAAATATTCTTCATCTTACAGGGGGCCGAACCAGCGATTTCTCAAATACCGGTAAGTATGACCGCAAGGGTCGACGATGTACTCGCCGCTCCAACATTCATATAACGAGTTTTAAACAAGTTTAATTTGGATGAAGAGAGCGGCAACCTGCGTTTCACAGGGTTTTCCCAATTCAAGGATCTTCGTGCCGCCCCCACCCACTCCTTCTGCAGCAAGAACATAATACCAAGGTAAAGTAAGAAGCTCTTTTTTTAAATACGTTGGTCTTCTCAGGATTTAGGTAACAGAGATCACACAGGTGGCCATGAGTAACTGGTTTGCTTTGAAAGGACGTGAGCCCCAGACTAAAAAGGCTGTTCGCGCTTCACCATCGTTCTGCTTTTTCTGTCATATTCAATATCACACTTCAAACATTTTCCACCGTAATTTCTCTGTGCACTAGAAGACGCGGGTTCAATTATTCCTATAGCGCTTTAAAACGTTATAAGATTGCACTATCTCCATATATTTCAGTTTTCAAGCTCTTTTTTAAGTTAAATATAGTCAGGGCATATCAAATGATAGTTATTGGCGTCAAGGGATGAGAAAGACTGCCTATTGTATAGGATGCTGTTGCAGCAGTATTCGTCTGGAAATGATCCGGATGAAGATGAGCGTATCTGAGCAGTCGGCTTAGGAATTTGATTCCAGCAGGCACTACGAATACACCAATATTAATTAACCCAGAGCAAATATTCTGCATCTTTACGGGGGGAACCTGGCGATTTCTCAAAAATCCGGTATACCGCAAGGGGTTTTGACTATACAAAACTCGTCGTTCCACATTTAATAACCACTTTTAAAAAGTTACTCTGCCCAAATTTAATTTGACGCATCATTTCCAGTAACAAAATGGTTTTGTCAAGCAAAAGCGAGGAAGAACAATATAATTATTGAAGTTACATGCGGGACGTGTAGGAAAATTTCAATCGATATTTCTTATTGATTTCAATTATGTCGTTTTATAATGCGTCGCCTGGAGTAGATAAAACAATAGCATTCTAAAAAAATATGGATTTCTCAATGAACAAATTTTCATTGACAGTGATCTACCCTATACACATTTGGAACAACAATTGCTTTTGTTAATATCTATGGCAGGCTGGGAAACGTGAATCACAGTGGTAGCTTGAACCAAGTGGCAATTTATACTCCGTATGGAAATTATGATTTATGGACATATAACAATGGGTACCCGTAGTTGTGATTCTGAAAAAAGTTCCTAATAAACTCCAAAGTGAACCAAACAACTTCCGATATTCCGAGCGTTTTTAATTTTTGTATAAAATACATTTGTAATATAATATTATTATTTGTAATATTATTGTCTGTGTATTACTTAACTATGATTCGTTGTATTTCTGTGAAATGCCCCGATTTCTGACCTTAAAAAGATCGTATTAATAAAAACAAGAAAACGTACAGGCCGGCTTAATCCATTGTTCACGAATATCATTGTATCAGGGAATGGTTTTGTGCCTTTGATTTGATTGTTACAGCGTCTTTGCGAGAGCGGGACTACAATTCCAAAAACAAAGTTTATTAAAATAGGAGGATGTGGAGATGTATTGCAAATAGACTGATCTCTAATCAGTAAACCAGGTTTCAGGAGACTACTATTTATCCCCCTTTTAAAAGGATGTCAGCAAGTCCCTGCCAAGTCCTCGCCCCATCTCCTGTCTCCACTCCTGTACATCTCTCGCCTCACAGCTCGCTCCACGTCTCCCTCGCTCTACAGCTCCCCTCCACACAGTCGCCTCGCTCTACACGTCTCCTCCTCTCCACAGTTCCGCTACAAGTCTGTCCACAGCTCGCTCCATCCTCTTCCCACCCCGCTCACCAGTGTCTCTCTCACCGTGCTCTCCTCCTCTCACACGCGTGCTCTCCCTCGCTCTCAGCACAGTGTCTCCCTCCGCTCTCACACAGTGTCTCCCTCGCTCTCACAACAGTGTCTCCCTCGCTTCTACCACAGTGTCTCCCTCGCTCTCACACAGTGTATCCCTCGCCTTCGTCTCCTCGCACTCACACAGTGTCTCCCTCGCTCTCACACAGTGTCTCCCTCCGCTCTCACACAGGTCTTCCCTCGCTCTCACACAGTGTCTCCCTCGCTCTCACACAGTGTCTCCTCGCTCTCACACAGTGTCTCCCTCGCTCTCAACACAGTGTCTCCCTCGCTCTCACCACAGTTGTCTCCCTCGCTCTCACACAGTGTCTCCTCGCTCTCACACACAAGTGTCTCCCCGCTCTCCACACAGTGTCTCCCTCGCTCTCACACAGTTGTCTCCCTCGCTCTCACACAGTGTCTCCCCTCGCTTCTCACACAGTTTGTCTCCCTCGCTCTTCACACGCATGGTCTCCTCGCTCCTCACACAGTGTCTCCCTCGCTCTCACACATGTGTCTCCCTCGCTCGTCGAACACAGTGTCTCCCTCTCTTCTCACACAGTGTCTCCCTCGCCTCTCACACAGTGTCTTCCCTCGCTCTCACACAGTGTTGCCTCTGTCTCCTCGCTCTCACACAGCCCTCGCTCTCCCACTCCGCTCTCACCCAGTTCCTCGTCTCACAGCTCCTCCTCTCAAAGTCCTCGCTCCACACTCTCCCTCGCTCTCACACCAGGGTCCCCTCGCTTCTCACACAGTCTGCCCTCGCTCTCACACAGTACTCCTCGCTCTTACACACAGTCCTCGCTCTCACACAGTCC